ACAATATCAGCATCTTTACTTAGAACTTCATTAAACCTTGTCCAGACTGCTGTACTAACCTACCAACTAAGGCATCATCTCCAGGTTTTTCATTTCACAATGACCCCACCACAGTACTGACAGGGTAGTAGTCCCAAGTTTTAATCAAGTGCATGCCATTCCCAGTCAAAAGCCTGCAATGCCCCCTTATTCACACCCTTATGCTATGGGGTCAATTTACCCTTTACCAAATGTTCTCTACAGTTCCCGCATCTGTGATTCTGTTTATATATTCTCTCCTCCTGGAATACTCTCTTCAATAAAAGTTTTCCCCATTCAAGACCTATTATAAATATAAATTATTGTTTAAAGTACTTTCTGATTGTTCTTGTAAGAATTTGAACTCATATAGTACACTGCTTTGGACTCTTCCCTACTTAACACCTTCTGCCCCAGATGATAGTTTTTCATGTACTTTCTCTATGCCTTGGACTATATAATTTCCAGGGATCTGATGTATGTCTAAATGATCTTTGTAGCTCTCACAATGCTTTTTCACTTCTCCATATCTTTTGAAGAAATGAGTGAATGAGTATTAAACTATGAATCAAGAGACTCAGAAACCGCAGAAATTTAAAAGTCTTTGGAAATCTTTTTAATCGTTTATTCTAGGTAAATTCTGAGATTTAGTTTTCTCTTATGTGCCTATTTTTTTGAGTAAGGGATGTCTAGCAAATTTTATACTCATTTCATGAATATAAAGCACTATGTAACATAAACATTGGGGAAGAGGGAAATCTTTTGCTTACTGGATGATAATAAATATTGTCATAGGATAAATGTGTATATTTGACTACTGTATTGCTAAGAAAATTCTATATGCTATATTCAGGATGTGCAGAGATGATATAATTTATATTTTAAATTTTGAAGATTCAACACCACTTGCTTCAGAATTTGTTACTGTATAGGGTAAATATTTTCAATAGAAAAAGTCCATTTTTTTCTTAAAATACCATGGACACCATCTTGAGAATACTATCATAATTGACTATCATGATTTGGGGACCATTAAGATGTCCTCTACAAGATACAATGTGCCTTGTTTTCTTAAAATAAGAACATGTACAATAAGATATAATCATCATAAGATTTATGAACTTTGATTTCCTGTGCTCTAGAACAGTTGGGAATTTTCACTGCAATGCATTAACCCTTGTAGGACATTAGTTTAGTCTATCAGTGCAATGGAGTCCAGGTGTAGCACTATAAGATAAGCACTTGACCATAAAACCGGTCTGAATCGAAAGGAAAGTGGTTCAAACTCACCAGCCACTCGGCTATTAGTCAGAACTGACTCGATGGCACTTCACAACATCAGTGCAATATTTTAATAGTCACAAGAACTTCAAAAGACAATGTTCAAGAAAACCTGTTTCATAATCAGAGAAATTAACTATAATTGATTTGTAATATTACAAAACTTTTAGACTAATGGAACATTAAAAGATCTTTGTCTTACAAGATTTTAAATAGTAATGTAGCTTCCAGTCAGTTCCACGGCCAGAAATATAACTTTTAAGTAGGTCTGACCAAGTATAATACAGTAATTTAATTTGATTAGACTTTTAAAATCTGCTTGAAAAAATTAATACTTTAGATTTTTTTTCCCATCTTTGTCCACAAATACCAGTTTAAGAAGAAAAACAAAGAGAGTTATAGTTCCCTAAGGAATATTTTCTATGATAGTCTTTTCTCTTGATCCATATAAATCCTTCCACTGAGGTCAGAGAAATAGTATATCTATTTGAAATAAAAATTGTTAGATTTCAATATTGCATTTTAAATCCATATTTGCCTATTCCTGATACAGTTTCATGCCAGGACTTCATTCATCAGTGAGAAAATCAAGGCAAGTTTGAATCAAGGAAAGTAAGTAACTTCTAACAAACTCTACCTAACGCTAGTCTCTTTTCTTTTAATATCTTTTCTAAAATATATAAGCACATTGTTCAGTCTGCACTATTCAAAAGGTATAGGTTGAAATAAATGTAATACCAGTTCACTGTTTACAACTTCTCTGGCATGTTTGTGAGCTATGCAGATCACAAACCTATTGTCAGAGTGATTAATTACAGAATGACACATTGTAAAGCCAGAGGATAACAACAAACAGAGAAACCAGGTTTTGCATTGATAGCCTTTACAACTCTTGAAAAAGCTTATGTGTGACTTCCTTTACAAATTTAAATATGCTCATAAATTAGGAAAAACTCAAGAAACCTATTCCTTCCCTGTGATTCCTAAAGAGAGAGTTGAAATTTAAAGACTGTGGGAAATTTTTTTATGTGGGTTAATGTGCTGGACTGAAAGATAGGTTTGAACTGCAACGTAGTCGGCAGTTCAAGCTCACCAGCTTGGAAACCCTAAACAGGGTTACTATGAGTCGGAATTGAATAAAAAAGTACTTAACTACCTGATAACAAGAAGAGCAGTTGCCCAAAATATCCTCTTACATGTGTCAGTAGATTTGCTATCCATCATATGCCATAAGCGCTTGTAATTTAAACATGCAAACACCACCACAGAGACAATGTTGTCTAGGGCAGCAGCCCTGCTAGATACAGCATGAGTTACTGTGGTTACCATACCTGATGATTTCAGGGGGCACACCAGTAGTATTTCTTATTTTAATAGGCATGCATTTATTTTGAAAGTGAATTAGAAAAAGTATGACTGGCAAATAAAACTCATCACTTTCACAGGTCTCATTCTTTGAGTCCACTGCCTTAATGACCTCAACAATAACCCAAACATAGCAGTGACCATGAAGACCAGACTGGGCAGCATTTTGTTATACATAGTTCACCGTGAGTCAGAATAGACTTGCTGGCAGCTAACAAAAACAATTCTTGGGGCCAGGTTTCCTTTTTATATAAGCTTAACTTTTAAAATATCAGTGAATTTAAAGAATGATATCAAGCAAATATGAGGGGGCTTCAAAAACTTCGTGGAAAATGGAATGGAAAGATGATGGAGTTTTTCCACAAGTGATTTGAAGCCCCCTGGTGTAGTGTAGGCACTATGGATAGAAGTCATGATGGAGGGAGGTGCGGATACCCTGGAAAGTGAATAAGCAGGGTGGAAAGGAGAGGGCTCAGCTGAAAGAGACTCTGGTCCTAGATTTGTCCCTAACGAGAGGTATGGTCTTCATTATGCCACTATCTCTTTGGGCATCTATCCTGATTTGTAAAGAGAAGGTTGGGTGACCACCAAAGTCTACCCATTGCTCTCATCTTTCTATGATGTTGTGCAGTCTCGTCAAAAGACATTGCAAGGAAGAGCAGTCTCAGTAAAATGCAAGTCAGCCGTCCCAAGTTAAACACAGGTGAGATTGATGAGGGATCAGTGGACCTTCTCTCTCTTTCTTTTTCTTTTTTTTTTTTTTTTTTGAGGCTAAACATGATTTTGCTTAGTAATTTTATTTTTTCTAAGTACCTCTTGATTGTTTCATCAATAAGGTAGCCAAATAACAGATTTTTTTGTGTGTGCCATATTATATATTTCTATCCATAGAAAATGTTGAGGCCTTCTGCTCCTGCCAAGTTGCAAAGCTTTGGAAACCCTACAAAGGCTCACTATGAATCAGAACCAACTTGAAGGCACTTAACAACAATCATTTTAATCTGGGAGTAGGAAGGTTGGATGTCCATGATGCAGTCAGATGGAGGGTTTAAGTAAAATCTGTCTAAAAGGAAAATACACTCCTGCTTGTTGTCAAGTGCCATCAAGTTGGTTCCGACTTGTAGCAACCCTGGTTAGGGTTTCCAAGGACTAGCTGGTGGGTTTGAACTGCTGACCTTGTGGTTCTCAGTCCAGTGCTGATTCTATAGAATCACACCAGAAGTCCACACACCTATTAGATGGAAAGAAAAATGGATAAAACAGTAGCTTCCTGAGATGAATTGTGTTTTAGGAAACAGGAGCCTGGAGTTTCTAGATACAAAATAGCAGATCTGGTTTTTGGTTTTTACTTTTTTGTGTATGCTGAAAATAGAATACATGTTAGCCCATTTTCAAGGGCAATAAAATCTTAAATTAGCTCTAAGTGCCTTTACTAAATTATCTTGAATTAGTGTCTCTTCTAAACAGCTGGAGAATACTTGTTCAAATCAAAGCCTAAACTCCTAGAACCAAAAACCATTTAGTATAGAAAATCTATACCAAGTGATGTTTTCATGGCCAAACTCTCCGTTTTCTAAAATAATCTTGTAGTATGAAAAGTAAGCCACCTTTTCCTTGAATTAGAATTACTGTCCCTTTTTCTAGTCTAGAAGCTCCCCTGCCTCACCGGAAAGTTTTCTTCCTAAACACTATCTCTCATTATTTCTGACCTAGCCTAAAAAGGCATGAGCTGTACCAATTAGATTGTGAGGTGAAAAAAGAAGCTTTTGGTGACAATTATGAAGAATATCTGAACTAAATATTTTGGAAATTATCTAATAATTAAGAACTAAAGTACTTTCTTTTTCTATTTAGAATACTTATTATACTGATTTAACATATTCAACTAAACAAACAAATTAACAAAACCAATACAAACTTTTTTTTTCCTTTTTTGGTGGAAACATATCTACTTAAAGTGATATAAGAAGATAAAAAAAATGACACTATGTGTGAAAAAATGTTAGCTGTGATCTCTAAAAGGGCATATTCATATAGCACATCTAAACATAGACTATACAGAATACATATACAATGTAGAATTGGCCCTCTGGGCTACCAATAACTTAATTCTCTGTTGCAGTTTCAAAGGCCTCTTGGAAAATGTGACTTCACAATTTTCTAGCTTAAATTTTTGTTGTTGTTAGAAATACCTACAGACATGCATTTCAACCCCCATTCTTGATCTGCGATAATAAGTCAATTTTTGTCGTCCCCAGTTCCTGGGAGTCTGTGGCGCTCTGTGAAAGACTACACATGTGTGTCCACTTGTCCCTGGACTCCTGATTTGGGATGCATCATTGTTGACTCAGCCTCCTTCGAAGAATGGCAACTAATCTTTTTCTGCTCTCATTTCCTAATGATGCACGACCCCTGGGAGGATGTGGTTGGGGGAGAATAGGCAAACCTGAGCTGTCCATCCTCTTGGGTTTCTCTGGAGAAACAGTGGGTTTTAATACTTGTAGGCAAGGGATTTTGATTCCTTTTTCAGAGTCCAGTCTGACAAGGCTTTTCTCTCCATGATTACTGACTGCAGCAGCAGTGGAGGTTAAGCTGCCCTGGCTGAGGGAACACGGTGACAATGGTAACCTTCCATTCAGCTTTCTAAGCTCCAGGAGCTGTTCTCTGGCGTGACTCAAAGCCTCCGTCAGTTCAAAGCGTTCTTCACACTCTCTACGTACTGTTTCCTGAAGAAAAGTGTTCTGAAAATAGAAAAAAATCAAAACACCCTTCACTTTAAATGATGTACATAAAGGAATATTATTGGCAATATAAATTGAGCACTGAATTGGAAATTAAAAGTCTGTATTTCTTGGCTGCCTCTGCAGAAATTCTATCACATGGGAAAAGGAAACCAATTGGTAAAGGTAGAAAGACTTCAGCAAGCGTTTGGCTCAACGCTTGAAGTGTACAGAAGAGGAACCAAGAATCAGAGAGACTGAGTGACAAACAGTGGGCCGGCCACCCAAGAGGTGGTGGTGGTGGTTGTAACGTGTCATCAAGACGGTTCCTAGCTCTGTGAGGGTTTTTGAAGAGCAGCTGGTGGATTCTAACTGCCGACCTAATAGTTTCAAGTCCAGTGCTGATGTTACAAACACCACACTAGGACTCCCACGTGGTAGTGATAAGGTTGAAATGTAGGACTTGCAATACCTACTTCAGTGGGGTTTCAACCTTTCTGGGCCTCCTGCCTCAGCATGTCCTGTACATGTGGTGTCTAATAGTTAATCTCTGTAGGGTCATTAAGTATGTTATTCTATGTTGTTGTTGTTAAGTGTTGTCAAGTCAATTCTGACCCATAGCAACCCTGTACAGGGTTTCCAAGGAGCAGTTGCTGAGCTTGAACCTCCGACCTTGCAGTTCAAATGACTTTGCAGTCTGGCGCATTAACCCACAGAGCCACACCAGGACTCCATGTTATTCTATATTGTTGTTGTTGTTGTTGTTAAGTACCATGGAGTCGGTTCTGACTTATGGTGGCTCTGCATAGGGTTTCTGAGGCTGCAAATCTTTACGGGAGCAGAAAACCTCATCTTTCTCCCATGGAATGTCTGTTAGTTTCAAACTGCCGACTTTGAAGTTAGCAGCCTGATTCATAACCACTACACTACCAGAGCTCCGTATGTTATTCTATAGTTGCCTTTAAATTTGAAAATATACTAAAATACATAAGGCAAACAGGTAAAACTGCTTTAATTACAAACTTGAAAGAAAAACAAATACATCAACTATAGCATTTAAACCATAAAATCAGTTACTTTGTTTTATGCTTTACAAAAGGAACTTAAATATATTGACCATTTGTTATTTTGTAAGATAATATCCTCAAAGTAAAACACATCTGATTTTAACTCCATTCTGTAATCACTTAGCAAGTTACTTCACCTCTACTAAATATAGTTCCTGCCCCAAGACACTTGACACAAGACACAAGAGCCTCTTTTTATGTCCCCAGTAGAATCTGAACCATAGGGCATATGCTATGAGGTTTAACATAAGAAAAGACTTTTTAATAGAACTATCAGAGGATACTCTGATGGTTGCAAGTGATGTACTGCAGCATATTTAAGCTTCAAATGTGTGACTAGACTAGAGATCATTGTTGTTGTTGCTGTTGTTAAGTGCCGTTGAGTCGGTTCTGACTCATAGGGTTTCCGAGGAACAACTGGTGAGCTTGAACCACCAACCTTGTAGTTCAAACCAACTTTGCAGTCCGGCACATTAACCCACAGCGCCACACCAGGACTCCTTTTGAGTCTACATTTCTAGCTGAGGAAGTACCTATCTCTGATCTATGGAACTCACTCAGTATGAAGTCTCATGGTATAAAATAAATCTTGGATTTTCCCAGAGTTCTGACACTCATGTCTGCAGGATGTAAAAAACCAGGTTGAAAGTTTCTGGGAAGATAGTTGCTTAAGCAGGTCTATAATCCCAACCCTCCCCACATGAATATCAAGAAAAGCAACTACAAGTCAGTACATAAGCAAAGTATGGCCGCAAGGAGCTACGGACTGAAACAACATGGACAAATTTTAAATAGTAGGAAAATCTCTTTTTCTATTGTCTTCACCCCTCTCCCTCCCAGGGCTGGTACCAGATAGTTGCCGAGCCGACCAGAGCTTCAGCACACTCACAGATCTCCAGCACACCAATAAGGTCCCTGATCTCTGGTTCCAAAATAAGTAAGGTAAATCTTGATGGCAGACCATTCAGGGTGTGTATTTTCAAAAGCCTGGAAGTATTCTGAAGGACTTGTCCAAATTGAAGTTCTCACGGAGCAGGGGAGGGAGGAGTGAACAAAGACTAAAGGCTGTGCCAGTGAGAGGTTACACTGATAGGTGTGCCATTTTCTCACCAGCCTGAAAGCTGTCTAAAGGACTGTTAACTTTGGTCTGTCTGAACTGGAGTTCTCATAGAGCAGGGTAGGGAGTGGTAGCAAAGACTAAAGACCTTGCCTGACCAAGAGTTTCTTACAGAACATGGTATTAGATGCAGTAGAGTTTGTTCCAACTCATAGCAACCCTATGTACAACAGACAGAAACACTGCCCGTCTGCTTCACAATCATTGTCATGTTTGAGCTCATTGCTGCAGCCACTATGTCAATCCATCTTCCAGAGGTTTTCCTCTTTCTCATGGACTCTCTATTTACCAAGCATAATGTCCTTCTCCAGGGACTAATCCCTCCTGATATCCAAAGTACAGGAGATGAAGTCTTACCATTATTGCTTCTAAGGAGAATTCTCTTTTCATGCTTTTGGCAGAACAAGGTAGATTCAAGAATCTAGCCAACACCCTAAATAAAAGGCATCAATTCTTTGGAATTCCATATTCATTGTCCAGCGTTCACATGCATATGATTTACATATATACAATTGATGGTCTGTTCTACAATCAGATTCTGGCCTCATATGACTGATAGTAAGATAAGCAGTGGACTACAGACCACAAGGTCGGTGGTTCAAGACCCCAGCCACTCCAAAGGGCAAAAGACAAGGCGATCTGTTCCCACAAAGATCAACTGCCTCTGAAACTTTATGTTGTTGTTGTTAAGCACTGTCAAGTCAGTTAGGACTCATAGCAACCCTGTATATGGTTTCCCAGAAGCGGCTGGTGAGTTTGAACCACCAACCTTGCAGTTCTGACTTATCTTTCAGTCTAGTTCTTATTTTACAGCATCACCCCAGGATTCCAGACACCCTACATGGGGTTGCTATGAGTCAGAACTGACTCAAAGGCATTTAACAACCAGAACAATTGTCACTTTGAGAACATGGTGGCTCTATTGGATAAACACTGGACTGCAAACCACAAGGTCAGCGGTTTGAGCCCACCATCACTCTCTGGTAGAAGATGAGGCTTAATGTCCCTGCAAATATTTACAGCCTTGGAAACTCTGTACAGGGTTGCTCTGAGACAAGACTGACTCAATGGTACTCAACAACAACCTAGGCTCTTTACATAGATGTAGGGAATTTGAATTTTGTGTATTCCATCTGATGATGTCCACATGTATAATTACTGTTTGTGTTGACCAAAAAAGGTATTTCCAGTGAATAGATTGCTGACAGTGCAAAATTCTATCATGGGCTCTCTGGCATCATCTCTATCATAAATATTGTATTTTCCAATTACTGATCCTTCTTTGTTTCCAGTGATTGTCAATATATCCTGATTGCATGTGTGATCAATTTCAGATGGTAGAAGTTGGTAGAACGCTCCAATTTTTTCATCTTTTAAGTTTATTGATTGATATGTAAATTTGAATGATAGTCATATTAACTGCTCTTCCTCGTAAGTGCATGGATACTCTCTTGTTGTACTTCAGGACAGATCTTGAAATGTTCCTTTTGACAATGAATATTACACCATTTCTCCTCAATTTGTCATTCCCGGCAGAGTAAACCATCTGTTTATCCAATTCATATTGGTCAATACCAGGTCACTAATGCTTAGGATATAGATTTTCAAGCACTCCATTTCATTTTGACAACTTCCAATTTTCCTAGAGTCATACTTTGGACATTCCATATTCTGATTATTAATGGATGCTTGCAGCTGTTTGTTCTCATTTTGAGTCATGCCACATTAGCAAATGAAGGTTCCAGAAACTTCACTCCATCCAAGTCATTATTTTGAGGAGGTAGCTTTTCCTCAGTTGTTATTTTGAGTGTCTTCCAACCTGAGCGGCTTATCTTCCAGCACTATATCAGACAATGTTCCACAGCTGTTTATGACCAATTTTCTTAGAAGTAAGTCACTAGGTACTTCTTCCTAGTCTGTCTTAGTTTAGAAGCTCCATTGAAATCTGTCCACCATGAGTGACCCTGCCAGTATTTGAAATACCAGGAGGCATAGCTTCCAGCATCACAGCAACAAGCAAACCACCTCAGTACAACAAACTGACAGATGAGTGGTGGGATTGTGGCCAGAACTATATTTAATTCAAAATTTGATGATCAACATAGAGAGCTATGGACCAAGTTCAAGTTTACCAGTCACACAATAATTTTCTGTAAAATCAGCTGATGCCTGGCTTAAACAAAGGCTATTTATATTATTTAGATACATACATTAGTACTACACACACATAAAAATAATAATAATGTGTTAGTTGCTTCCAGTTCAGCTTTGCTGTTGTTGTTTTGAGGAGCGGAAGACCATAGACAGTGACTATCACCTGGTTCTCATTAGCTTTATCTGAACCATTAGCTGAAAAGGTGGAGGAGGGCAGGCTAGAGCCGATGAACAAAGTGCTACAGTGCATGCCATCTCATTTACTACTTCCAGCCACTATAGCTGACAAAGGGAGACACTGGCGTTCAAGGAGGTCAGTATGTTGCTAAGAGGAGCCCAGCTCTGAAATGATGGGGCCCTGCCCACCTCCAGAGTCATGCTATGACTAAATTTATTGTCTAATTAATTATATCAAGTGGTGGTGGTGGGGTGCCATGAAGTCAGTTCCGACTCATAGCAACCCTGTACAGGGTTTCTGAGGCTGTAAATCTTTACAGGAGCAGAAAGCCTTATCTTTCTTCCACAGAACAGCTGGTAATTTCGAACTGCTGACCATGAGGTTAGAAGCCCAATTCATAACCATTATGCTACCAGAGCTCCTTAATTATATCAAGTACACAAATGTAATTTGGTTCCTAAAACACTTAATTTTGTCCACAATTTTTAGAATTCTAGCAACTTAT